CTACCAGAAAGTGTTGTGAAGGCACCGAGTGTGAGCTCTTTCAAGACAAGACTTGACCAACACTGGAGCGGGTTCAGGTACATTCAGGAGCCGGTGAATGCCCAGTACTTTCCAACAGTGCGTGACAGAGACGTGACCAATCGCCCGGGCGGCTAGCGAGCCGATCTTTTGGTGAAGAGGATAAAAGAAGGAGAAAAGTAATCAGAAACGTGACCGATCGCCCAAGCGGCTAATGAGCTGATCAGTGGTGAAGAGGATTAAAAAAAATGCACATGTACAGGTTATTCACAAGTTAATTCTGCACTTTTATACTATGCCTGAGTTAAGAAAAATTTCATTTTAATATATATATATATATATATATATATATATATATATATATATATATATATATATATATATATATATATATATATATATATATATATATATATACACAGCTAGACACCGACTTACGACGGGGTTAGGGACCCAAATCCAGGTCATAAGTCCGAATGGTCGTAAATCCGACATAGATTAAAAAAAAAAATTTTTAATAAAGAATCTACAATGAAATACAGTACAGTAAAAGTAATAAATAATGAGGAATGGATACAGTGTGACTGAGCACTTACCTTTAATGTACAGTAGTCAGCTGAATGCACACAGGGCCCCCATAATTTTCTAATTATACATGGAGTCTACATTAACTGAAAACGTTTCGGTATAGAAAGTGCATGCGTCATTTGAAGAAAAAAAAAATTTGAAAAAAAAAATGGTCACAACTGCGGCGGTCGTAAGTCGAAGCAGTCGTAAGTCGGGGTCCAGCTGTATATACTGTATATATATATATATACATATATATATATATATATATATATATATATATATATATATATATATATATATATGTATATATATATATATATATATATATATATATATATATATATATATATATATATATATATATATATATATATATGTATGTATATATATATGCAAATAAATCACTGTAGGTGCGCTGATCCAGGTTATATGCTGATAACCACACAAATTACACAAAGTGCTTGGGAACTTCGGGTTTTCCTTGTGTATATATATATATATATATATATATATATATATATATATATATATATATATATATATATATATATATATAATATATATATATATATATATATATATATATATATATATATATATATATATATATATATATATATATATATAGATATATATATATATATATATATATATATATATATATATATATATATATATATATATATATATATATATATATATATATATATATATATATATATATATATATGTATATATATATATATATATATATATATATATATATATATATATATATATATATATATATATATATATATATATATATATATATATATATATATATATATATATATATATATATATATATATATATATATATATATATATATTCTTGGCCAACCTTCGATCTATGGATTGTACAATACAGTATATTGTGGGGTTATGTGATATTTGGTTCACACTCAGGATGGGATGGAGAAAGGAAACTCACAATGTGCTCTCTGTATACATATTGTATTGGATGTACAATGCAGCTTGTTGCTGGGTAGGTAGCATGGTAATAGCTGAGTAGAGAGAGCGTGGTGAGGGTGCCCAGAGTGAGGACACGCGGCTTGAGGGACGCGTCAAGCTGGCGGAGCGGGCCGCTGGCTGGCGCGGAGGAGGAGGTGTTGCTTGCTGGTGGCACTGTGTAGAAAGAGAGAGGGCTGGTCACAGCGGTGTCAGGCCTTATAAGGCGGGGGTAGGCGTGAGTAGATAGTTGACCCCCGCTCCGTGGGCGGCGCTGGATGCGTAGGCTGGGGAATTCGAACGGTTACGAGTTTGATAACGTGGCGCGGATACGTCCGGATACGCCGACCTGCCCCAAGAAATTAAACCTCCTAGTTCTCAAGAAGTTCTTTGAAACTAATGAGATCGTGGGGGTCACCAAGGTGGAACGACTGAAGCTCCATGGTGACACCAAGATCACCTTCGCCGAGAAGGGTATGCCCGTACAGCTCGTGGAGATCCCAGACATCAACGGCATTCCATTTAAAAATGATTGCCTACAAGTGGACAACCTGAAGCTGGGAGTAATCTCCCACGCCGAAATTGCCCATGACCAAGCAGAGCTGAGTGAGCTCCTCAAGGGGCAACTCCAAGTTGTGAAGAAGCTGTCCGACACCACTGCCCCCATCGGACACCATACAACCTTACCCAAGGAGGCTCAACTGGCGGGTAACTGTGCCAGTCAAGCCCTACTGCAGACCGAAACGCTGTTACAAATGCCAGCACTACGGACACACTGTCAACAAGTGTGAGGCGCAGGAGGACACCTGCTCCCTGTGTGGCAGCCCTCGGACACCGCTACACGGTCTGCCCCAACAGTAAAAATGCGCTGCCTGTGGCCCACAACACTCTCCCGCCGATCGGACCTGCCCGAAATGGAAGGAGGAATGCAGGATAGCTAAGGCTCGACTCGACAAGAAACTGAGCTACAAAGAGGCCCTCCTTTGCTGTACGCTCCCAAGACAAGAAAAACCAGCAGAAAAGAAAACCCAAGAAAAGAAAACTCAAGAAAAGAAAACAAGAAAAGACACCTGCCACACAGAATCAAGAACACCACGAGGCCCGTGGAGCTGAAGCCCACGTGGTCAACATCACCGTCTCCGACTTCTTCCACACCTATGAGGACTTAAGACACGAGGAAGACGAACAACAAGACCCAAACACGAACGAATGGACACTTCAAGAGAGCAAGAAGAGAGTTAGAAGAAAATCTACATCAAGCTAAGAAGAATACCAAGACAGAAGACCAATACATTTCCTCCATACAAGAAAACAACACACACAATCTAGCCGACCAAGCACTGAGAATCCATGGCCCAACACGCACCTGACGCTAGCCTGACTCTGTCCTGCTGCCTCCTGTCCGCGTCCAGGCGAGTTGCTGCTGCCTCCAACTTATACTCCCTCACGCAAGCGGTGTTTAGCCACTGCACCTATTCTCCTCCTAAAATTCACTTCAATCCTTTAGTCTTCCCCTGAACCTCCTTCCCCCCTGTCACTAGCATTTCATGTTCATGTTCATGCTGTACGCTGATTGGCTGGTAGGCGCGCGGCCGGAGCTCAGTTGGGAGTTATAGGGGAGAGGAGCCACTACACTGAACCTAATCACGCAAGATGTAAGTTCAAATATAATTACTATAACCTCAGCATATCTGGTTGAGCCCGGATACTGTCAATCTCTTACTTTCCTTCAAATTTCTTCCCTCTTTTCCTTGATCCTAAACCAATCCCCTCTCCCCCAAATCGCCACCAAAGAACTTCCAATCCTAATCCCGGCCCTCCCACCCAGCATTACAAGCAATAGCCTTCTATCTTATCTACAGACGTCAAGTCAAGACCAGCCTCTTTCTACACAGTGCCACCAGCAAGCAACACCTCTTCCTCCGCGCCAGCCGTGCGGCTGCCGCTCCCGCCAGCGACCTTGGCGCCCCTCAAGCCGCGTGTCCTCACCTGGGCACCCTCACCACCCAGCTCTCTCTACTCAACGCTTATTACCATGCTACCTACCCAGCAACAAGCTACATTGTACATCCAATACAATATGCATACAGTGAGCACATCGTGAGTTTCCTTTCTCCATCCCATCCTGAGTGTGAACCAATATCTCATACTCCACAAGTGCTCATTTTTGCACCAATGTGACATCCCCTGCAATTTTGTAAAAGAACTCCGGTGTAACACTTTTTTTAATAATAATAGTAACTGATCAATTAAACACGTTTTAAAAACATGGTAGGTGGATTTGCAAGTACTGGCATACAATCTGTAGAATGTTATGTACTACCTGGCTGCGCCAGTGTTGGTCAAGTCTGTCTTGAATGAGCTCGCTCTCGACGGTGCCATCACAACGCTCTGGCATGTTGTTACAAGAGTTCACCAGTCACAACCCGCACCACGAAAAGGTGTGCCCTGATAATTTTTGATCTTGTGGCTTCTTGAACCTTAACTGTGACCTCTAGTGGGGCGGACACCAGATAGTAAGGTTAAAATTATATTTTATTAATAATTATGGCCAAGGGCCATTCAGCTCAGCAGAGAAAAGGTGGTCAAGTACACTTCACTTGAAGGGTACAAAACAATTTCATGTAGCACTTAGGAAGGTGGCATTTCTGGGGTAGAACTAAATGCTTTTGATGAAAATCAAGTTAAGGTCATCTAAGGCAGAACACAGTGACAATGACCACATATATTTTTCGCGATTTTTCCACAATCACAAACTAACCCACCCCCTATTTTTTTTACTCTATCCTTTTCGCCACGATCGACCTATTAGCCGCTTGGTCACCAAAAGGATCAATTTCATAAGATAAATTAACTCCGAGAGTAACCGACATCTCGTCTACTCTGTGAGTGACTTACAAACATGTTAAAATATATTTTTTTAGTCAATTCTCAATTTAAACGCGACTTTAGGCATAAGAAATTACCAATATTAAATTTTTAGACAAATGAGACTCGCGTAAGCACAGAAATTGAATATTGACAAACTTTGAACATGATGTGTTTTTTTAAAATATGTTTCTCCACATAAACAATATATAAATAAGCTTCAACGGGTAAAATATATTGTTTACATGACCCGGATTCAGATGGATGTACAGATTATATTAGCAACTCTTAAATTATGGAAATTTTGGGTATTACCGTTTTCTTTATGAAACGTAGAACTAAACTATCTGATTCGAACGAGTAGGGTTCCAGTATTTACGCCAAGCCAAATGATAATCAATAAATTCTAGGCTGGGAACGCGGGGCAGGTCCCCACGCGCGCATGCGCTCTTGTGTAGGCTCAGTTGCGGGCGAAAGTTGAACTATGATTGGTCGGCGCACCATGAGGAAGATCAGCTCGTGCAGTGATTGGTCTATATAACACTCTACAGCCGGTACGAGTCTCTCTCACCCACTACGCCGTCTGGCCACAACACGCACAATTGTGCCGCTTTGAGGATATCTTCTCATAACCGCTCCACACAATAAATAACCTCATGGCGGACCAAGATGGAGCAGCAAGACTTCACGGAGGACTACAGTGGCGGAGACTTCCAGGAGAATGGAGCTGGGGCGACGGAAAGCCAAGAACAGAGTGGCGAAAGCCATGCCGGGAATGTACAGGATAGTGGAGCTGCTGACGCTCCAGGCCGGGACGACGATAGGTATGGTGCTGGGACGGTCTCCTCCGTTAATATTGGGGCTCTGTACAAAGTTAGAAGCGTGAGAATTTTGATCAGTATTGTATGCCAGGAGTTGCAGGTACAGTAGAGTACGTAACGAGCGTTGTTTGAGGTAGTTAGAACACGGCGACGCGAACACGTTGCCACGCGTTGTCCCCGCCGATTATAGCGTCATTAATGGTTCTGCTTGTTGCACCCTTATGCCAGTGCTAGAGTTTATATGGAATGATTGGGTTATTGTTAAACAATTCACAAAGGAAATGCGCTTTCCGTTGTCGAATTTCGTTTCAATCATAGGCTAGCATGAAATGTACTTGACGTTCACACGCTCTTAGGCTTAATGCTCAAATTCATTTTTCATAATTAATGTCTCAACTCTTAGTGACAATAAAGTCGATATCGTTGGTTGTTTTTCAGCAGTAGAGTATTGTCGCATCCAACATGCTAGCCTAGTTTCAGATGGTAATGATCATGGACTTCCTACCTTAATGTAACTCATAACCTCTTCTACGTGACCGTCGTAAGTCTTGTTAAATTTTGGTTCTAGGGCATAAAGTTGCATGGGCCCTATATGTTTGCGATCCCACATTAACTAGGCAACTACGCTTATTGTATCTTGCCCCTTTGCAGTGGCTAGCGGTCATCAGCACTGCGTAGATTCCCCCACTCCTGTGCTAGATTCAGTTTAAATTTAGGTTTAAGGGACTAATTTGTGCACTAAATATGTGACCAGATTCAGGATTCAGAACTATTTGGTAAGGTATAACTTATGAACTGTTTTCCTTCTTGGCTGAGGCTGTGGAAAGAGAAAGTTTTAGGCGTGTGTAGAAAACTTATTTTTTTCTTTTGCACAGTGAAAGTTTACGGTTTTCCTTGAGTATTTATAGATTCCTTATTATCAGTAATACATAGTAAAAATTTGTCTATGGGTTATGCTTCAGCACACTGCACATGCAATGAGGTTAAAATGTATGTTTTGGCTTTACAACACTTATTTACAGTATTTATTATTCCAAGTGATATTAAGCTAATATTGTATTTAATCGTGTAAAATCACAAGCACCTTTGTTGACATTAGCCACAATGTTGCTTCACTCATTTACAGGTACTTTAACGGACATTGTTTGGTGGATTTGGCATCCTGTGTACCACCGGCATGGCAGTGGTCTCGTAACACGCGTCTTGTTTCTCTGTGGCCGACGGTCATACTTTCTTTCCTCAGGCAGCCAAACTGTGGAATTCTCTAACGTCTTTGTTTCCATACTATTTCAATCTGTTTCTCTTCAAAAGCTGGTTTCCGGCATCATCGTTTGCCAATCAAAGCCAGTCAAAGCAAAATATCCACCGCGTTTATTGAAATAAACTAAATAATGTAACGGTAGCCGATGCATTGGAAAAGTCCCCAGGCTCGTCGATTGTTAATAAAGGCTTTGTGATTTTATGCCCATTAAATATAGGATTACCGGTAGTAACTTGATGTTTCAATGCACATATCAAGTCTTGAAATCGTGGGTTGTGATGGATATAACGTTTACCAGCAGACAAGGTGAACCATTGATTCCTAAACCTGACCTATTGATCACGGTGCTGGACAACTCGTACTCAAGCAAATTGTACCCATCAGAACATGTCAAGATACCCAATTACAAGGTAACTTGTACCCAATTTACGATATGGTTCGTACCCATATATTGACAAAACATATATATAAATATATGAGAAATCCACAGTATGCGGGAAGGAAATTTAATTAAATAAGATAAAAATTAGAATGTTCGTATACACTAATGAACTGGATATAGTAAGCAACAACATCCAAGAAGTAGATACGATGGCAACAATCTTTAAAGAAATAGCAAATTCAACGGGACTTGAGATAAATGTGGATAAGATCAAAACAATGATCATGGAAAGAAACCAAAGGCAAAACCCACATTGTATCTGTACAAGTGGAATTCATATTTGAAAAATCGAGTCCTTTAAATACCTTGAATCACTTATGACATAAGAATGCAAGATTGAAGAAATTATGTAAAACCAATGTAAATTATCGCCAGGATTGGAGCCGGTAATAGATGCTACTACAGTCTTCTGGGCATACGAAACAAAGAAACGTATTGAGAACAACAAAGCTGAGAATTTACAACACAATAAGAAGTCCAGTTGTTAATCAAGGGATACTTTAATGCAAATTTGTGAGCCTCATTTCTGATATCATTATCCTTTTGTCAGCATTCTATCACTACTATGAACCAATTGTGTACATTTTTATAAGCTTCAACATGCTGCTTTCGTTGTCTAATTGTGGTTACTCTTTATTCTGCAGTACTACATAAAGCCTGTGCTTCCGTCTCAAAAAATCAAAGCGCGATTTGGGTACTAGTTAACTTTTTTTAGTACGATTTATTTTGGGTATTAGATGACCCTAACCCTATTGATCATTGGTTATTTTTGGGTGTTGGTTGGTTTGCCCCGTGCTGCCATAAACGAGTTTTGTTGCCCCAAGTTTCTAAGATCACGCATTCCATTTTAATGGATAATACAAAACAAACCTGGTGGGGGTGCAAGGAAAGTAAATCCTGAAAATTTGGTAAATTTATAGTTTCGGTCATCCATCTGTTTTTCCGACGGTTTTTGTCGTGTTTTGAATTATTATGATTTTACCTACCCCAACCAACCTAACATAGCCACCGAACCCAGGAACTATAGCTAACCTAATCTAAATTCCCAAGATTCCCCGGATGACCGAAACGATAACAAAAAAATTCTATTTGATGTAGGACAAGGACCAGCCAAACCTAACCAGTATAGTATAACCAGATGATCTGAGGCAAGATTTGGTTGGTTGGTACTTTTGGTTTTCATCATGTAAAACTTAACTCCTTTAAGTCCTAACTGTATAGCATACATTATCCAACTATCCCACCTGACCTAACTAATGTAAGACTTGGCTAATTATTTTTCTGGATCAGTAAGAAAGAGTTTGCACTTGCCATAAATCACCAGCAGTGATAATTTTAACTCCAGTTTTACATTGGCGATGGGAGCATGACCTTGTGATAATGGCTTAAATCAAACGTAGCAGGATGTCAAACATTTTTTCCTTCGTAGTTAATTTTGAATAGTATTTGTAAAACTTATTTTATTAGCATTTGCAGGGAGGGTGGTATTCCCTCCTATAACCAGGACAAAAAGGGTTAAACTGTTCCTTGCTCCTCTACATTAATTTCTACCCAATACTCTTGTGCATTAAAGGAAACACAAAGTGAAGAGACCATAAAAATATTTAGTTAGGTAGTGGAGCTGGATTTGTTAGTTTCTCCGAATAGGCAATGTCTGTGAGTGTGTGCTTGAGATGTTACTGCAGTGTTTTGGACAAATTGAGTTAGGTTCCAATTATTGCTTTGTGGGCTTCTCAAATTAGTTTGATAATCTGCTTTAACCCCCTTTTTTTTTTCATTGGTTAACAGTTAAGACAATCTTTTATGGGTAGATTTGCGGTTGAATAGCTCCGTTTAAGTATATATATTTATTTTAGTTTAATATTACCGATATATATGTTCCTTAAAACTTCACTGCATGTAAATGTGTTAGGTAAATAGAAGGTAAACATGATAGTTCGGCCACTGTGTGCCATTCAAGATATACAGGTATGTTATGGGATTAAGATTCATTTGTAATGCTCTAGGCATTTTTATTTTATTTTGGGGGGGGGGTGCCAATGTGTGTAAAAGCTCTTGGGGATTACAATGGTGATTTGCTGCACTATGGAGTTGGGAGAATATTTTTGATAATTTGTTTATAGCACCAGATCTGTATTTCAAATTTGGATTTTGTTTTTGCATAGATAAAACCTTAATGTGAGTATGGCTTCATATAAACTGCGATGCCAGATATACCTGGGTTTGTGTTCCCAATAATAATATTTGAATGCAGTCCATCCCATTAGCCATTGTATATTGTAAACTTTCTTGATTAATGTTTGTCCCTAGAATTGAATCATTCCAGTTGAACAGTTAACTTTGTTTGTATGGAGGGTTAGATATATCCAATTGGTAAAATTCCTGTAATTATCTAGAATGATAGCTAAAGCCTCTATGCAAATTGTCATATGATGGATAAGCTGTAAGAATAACTTGTGACTCGTTATGGGAGGGGAGCATGATTACCGAACATTATATCAGCAAGAGAGTGATAGATGACACATGTAGGGGGGGGATAGATGGTTTGCACTTGATTTTGATCACCATGTATCTAGTTGGGAAAAGACTTTCCAGATAATTTTATTTTTATTTTTTAGAGTTCATATTTACTGTACAGTCTGCGCGGAATGTTAGATCGTGTGCTGAAAAATATTGATATTTAAGATTGTTATATAAATAGTCAAGTAACACTTACCACCTCAATTAATACTTTGTAGTGTTTCCTCTGCGCTTCAGACAGTCTTTTAGCCTTCGAGGAACACTGTCAGCAAGGTTTTGCAAGAGGTCAGGTGGCAAGTTAGCCCAGGTATCCTTGATGGCTGCCTCTAGCTTCGAGATTGATGATGTGTCAGCGTCGCGCAGACGACACTTAACAATGGACCACAAATTTTCTATTGGGTTAAGATCTGGGCTACTGCCAGGCCAGTCATTAAAGAAAGGTACCTCACAGTCTTTGTGCCACTGTATGACACTTTTAGCAGTGTGGCATGGGGCACCGTCCTGCATGAAAAGGCTTGCCTTAGCTTTATCAAATGATTCAGGTATGAACTCACTGAGCAGTTCAAGATAGTTGTACTGATTCATCATCTGGTTCGTAGGGAGGAGTACTAGTTCACCAACACCATAATAAGTAAAGAAAGCCCAAACCATAAGCGAGGCAGGGTGCTTAAGTCTTTACAGTGTACTGTGGGGGGGGGCGGTACACCCTCCCTCCATTACTCCCAGTCACAGAAAACGTAGCCTCATCCAACCATAATGCACTCCTCCATGTCTCTAAATCCCACACTTCATATTTCTTGCAAAATTTCACTATTTTCCTTCTGTCTCTTTGTCAACAGAGGTTTACGGCGGGCACGAAAGCTCTTAAATCCCAGGTCATCATGCAGGGCTTGTTGAACACAACGTAACGAGACGTGACTCAAAAGACGGGGGTTTCTCTCTCTCACTTCACGTGCTGTGAGTGTGGGATTGGACCGAACTTGTCGAGAAATAACCTTAAGTGTCCGTGGAGACAATAATTTAGGCCTACCAGACTTAGGTAATGGAGTTGTTGACTCTTCCACTCCAAGGTCACGGAAATGTTTGACAAAATTTTGAACAACTCGTAATGCCACACCAGTCTGAGCCGATATTTCTCTCAGTACGTGGTTCGCTTTGTACAATGCAATCACTGCTGCAATATCGTCTCTTGTAACCCTCCTGGACATCTCTGATGGCCACTATGTCGGGTTAATGCACCTTAAACTAGACAAAACATGGCACGGGAACCCGCACAATAAATATTCCCCTCACAGCTGCCAGAGGCGCACTGACTACAAGCCGTGACGTGTTCTCAGTTGCCAAATGTCAGCACTTGCCAACAAACCAAGCGTTTTGACATCTCGCATCCCAGGCCAGGCTTCACAACATATGATCTTATTTTTGCGAGAACTTAGTTCGTCGGCCCTATTGCGACTTAACATTCCGCGCAGACTGTATGTGTGGTGAATTATCTTTTAGCTGAAAAATGTTGGTGTTCCAAAACGGACAATTACTGCAGTGGGCTAAGAATGTATCATTGACAACCATAGGTTAAGATGCTTGTGATTGGAAGGACATGGGGAATGTTTTTAAATTGTTGATTATAAGGTCCACAACTTCCTTAAATTTAAATTGCTAAATCTTAAGAAAACCACAGGTGCAATAAAAAAAGAAGTTTTCACATGAACTCTGCCAAATTGTTTCTGATCCTGAAGCTTGTTATCTTTTTATAATTTTTTTGTCTTAGATTCTGCATCACTAAAGTTTTAAAACTTGTAAAGTAAAAAACTAGGTAAGTAGTGGAAATGATCACACTTTATTGAATTGCCAATTTGTTTGGGAGACTAGATTTTATAAAATCTTAACTATTTGGGAGTTTAAATTTTAGTTTTTTTGTGTGTGAATTTGATTAATTTAAAGTTTTAAAGTACAGTAATACCAATAACTGGGAGTCAAGGGTGGTATGCTGATGTCTTGCTTGCTGTGTTGATCACTTCCCCTGCATTTTGAATGTTTTGCCTTAAAGCTGCCCTGTTGCTGCCATCATGAAGCTGTAACGTAACTGAAGCAGACATCAGTGGGCATCTTGCTCCAGCTGTGTTCTTCTTGCCCAATGGTAACGTAATGAGGTAACGTAACGTCTCTAGGGAAGGTTCAGGTGGTCCATCCCCACGGACTAACGGAGACTCCTCTTTCCTCTAGGTGGCCGCTACTTCGGGAAGAATGTTGCCCACATGTAGCGCTTCGCATCGACACCAGGGTATTTATCTTGTTCACCTTATGGTCCAACTTGACACACGGTTACCTGTCTTTCCATATATGATCAACTTGAGGCAAAGGTCATCTGGGTGGTTCTTGCTGTAATCCTTTGCAGCATTAGCACAATAATATTTTCTCATTAATTTTTTCCCCCAAACTTTTTGTTGTTCTCTGTTGCCCAGACATTTTCAGAGTTAATGTATAGAGCAGACTGGGCAGTTGCATTATTGCCAACTTTGTCGTGCTGGAGTGGGTTTAAGATTTTGAATTGCTGCCATCATAACTAGAAGCCGTAATCCAACTTTAAGGTAAAGTACATCCACAAATTAGATCACTCCACCCAGCCCATTACCATGAAGGACAGCTGACATTTCCTCTCTATTTCAGGAAACTTTTTGTTGGTGGACTAAGTTGGGAAACTACAGAGAGTGAGTATTGTATATGTCACCATTTTGTTTAAAAGTTTGAGTACAGTATTATTATTTGGTGGGGGGGATATTTATTGCTGAGATAGATAGATATATATATATATATATATATATATATATATATATATATATATATATATATATATATATATATATATATATATATATATATATATATATATATATATATATATATATATATATATTCAATTTGTTGTAAATTTACTGGAACAAATTTTCGGGACAACACAAATGGAGAATTACATTTTACAAGGTACCGTTAGTTGAAAGTTCTGTTGCCTCTCCTGCTGCACCTTGAATTCAGAGACTGACTCTTGAAGCAGTAGAGACATCCATCATTTTTTTCTCGGGTGCTTTAGATTCACGAGTATCTCGGGATTTGTGGAGCAGCAAGAGGGGCAACAGGACTTTTGACCATAACTGTACACCATAATATCAAGCCTGAAACCGTATTACTAACATTTTCACATTTTAAAGAATATGTAGCGACTATAAAGCCTAGAGTTACGACTGTAATGTGTGCTCCAATATTGCGTGAAAGGCGGATTGTTGCATCGTGAATCATTAATTACCATTAAAATAGGGCAATACTAATCAGATGCTTACCCTAGTTTGACCTTTTCAGATCTTTTGTGTGGCTATTTACCCATGCTTTAAAAATAATGGAAAATAAGATTGCTTTAATGTTTATTAATGTAACATAGTATCGTCACATCTCTTAAGAATACCAAATATTCATTATTGTTTATTACTAAAGGTATATATGATTCATTAAATGTATTATATGCAAAATGAACAATACAATTTACTAGTAATATGTAGGAACATCTGCGTTGTTAGTGTTTACGTGCAGGACGATGGTTCTTCGTCTAACTGAAAGTGACCCTGGCTGTAGTTGTAGTAAAATTAATTAAAAAGAATGTGTTTTAATGTTATTTAGAGTAAACGGAACAATAGAAGTAACCACTGGCGTAAAGAAAAAGAGATGGGTGGTGGAATCCCAACGTATGTATGTTATCACACATGCAAACATGGCATCACTTCTCTACATAAGAATATTAAAGAAATGCTTATTACTGCACATGTGTTATAAATGATGTTTATGCATGTACAATTTAAATTCAACTCCCCCAATGGTAGTACAGCCAAAAACATAGGACAGCCATTGTTTTGAATTTTTAATCTGATGACAATAAAGTGCTTAAATTGTTGGATTCTCTCATAGCTTTTGAACCAGCATTACCTACACTTTTTGTACAATAATGTACAGTATTCATTCCGTATCTGTGTGAAAATGGAATGTTATTTTATTTTTCTTCTAATTTCGTAAATACTGTATAAATAAAATGCCGATGTAAATAGTCTGGTACTAAATTAACTGGGGTTTTTAATATGAATCGTCATAATTCGGGGCCTTCCTGTAAAAGATTTGTCATGTGAGTTACTAAGTTTTTGCTTGGACTTTCGCCCATCATGGTTCCAAAGTATTTCATTGGTGGTGTATTGTGTAATACAGATACTGCAATTTTGTTACACTAGAATATTTTGATTATGGTAAACATTATTTGGTACTTTTACCCCAACGAAATTTTAGATTGTAAGTTAGTTTTTCAACTAACCAAACCTAAGTTAGTTGGAAAAACTGATGATCTAAAAAAGAATTTGCGTGGGTGTAGCAGAAAAGTACCTTTTGTTTTAACAATACCTATAGAGGTATTGTATACTTCTGGATATATCCCCCACGTGATGGTAGAGCATACTACTGTTATTGGCAGAAAAGTTTTTTTTTTTTTTATATATACTGTATCCAATCTCTGATCAGTGCATATGCTGAAACTATGAATTTGTGTAATTTAAGGCTTAACCATATATTACATACTTTAGTGAACATTCATATTTAAAATTTGTCTAGAATCTGTCATAAAACCTCGTATATATATTGTATATGTACCCCTCAACTGTTACTGTGGGATTTATCTTAAACTCTCTTGCCATCCAGTATTGCTTTTTAGCTTCATTATTCTAAATGAAAAAAGCTGTGTAAATGTTTTTCATGATGAAAATTTCCAGTTCTGCTACTGACGACTTTGATGTAGCCTAGTTTTCTGAGGACATGATGTTGTATATATAGCACATTAATCTTTGCATTTTCTTGATTACATTTTTTTAATTTTCTTAACAGAGGAACTCCGTGAACACTTCAGCAAGTATGGTGATATTGAAAGTATTAATGTTAAAACAGACCCCAATACTGGCCGATCAAGAGGATTTGCTTTTATAGTTTTCAGTGTAGCAGAAGCTGTAGACAAGGTGGGTGAAAAAAATTACATTTTAAAATGTGCTTTTTGCACTGGTTTTTAGTATTATGCAGAAACCTTTATTAATTTTTCAAAAGATACTGCAAACAATTAAAATTGAACCTCTGTCTTTGGTTGTCAATTGTATTTTTCACCAATCATTTGATTATCTAGTGTATGGTATATGGTGTAGGTTCCCAACACAATTTGATGCACAACATGGCACAGTACAATGTAAGATCATGGGAAGGCTAAAGGTTTTAAGATGTGATATTCAAATAGAAGCTAATCTGGAATGGTCAAAAGTATATCTTCACAATGTTTAATTTTTTAAATCAGGATAGTAACTATTGTCAGCTGGATGTTATCGTTATTGGATATCTAAACTTTGTATTTTTTTAATGTAAAACCATTGGCTCCGTTTTGTTGAAACATGATTGCTGTAAAAAGTTGTCAGCACCCTTGATTATAGTAAATCTTCAGGCTTATCAAACATAACCCTTCTTGACATCACTAATGTAACAGTGTACATGTAAGTGTGCTGCTTATAAGGATCACCAATACATTTCTTTAAGGGGATCGTCCCACTGAAATCTGATTTTCTGTAAAAAAAAAAAAAAAAAAAAATCTTGCGCGCACACACAATTGCTAATGCACATCTCATCCATTTGAGAGAGCCAAATAAATAAATCAAGACTTGATAAATCACTTGGAGTGGGCGTACGTCAAATTCAATGATCACTTAAAAGCAATATTCCCCTTCCTCCAGCAAGCTATTGGGCACTACTGGCTGAGAGAGGGAGTCCGTAGTCATTGGATCTCTTTGCTTGTAAGACTTGTACCATGCATTGTCAGTAACTCGAACATTTCTCAGTTGGATGGTATGCATCGATTGGAAAAAAAATTGAAGTGTGACCCTAAGAATTTTCACTTATTTGGACTGTAACTATATACAGTACTTGACCCTTAAACTGCAATCCATATCTGTTGAAGTTTCATGTTTTTGCACCATAAATTTAAACAAAGTGACTTGATGTTTCTGGGTAGTGCACTTAATCAGTTCGGTGACCCTGAGTGGGTATCTTCTTTCTTTCCGTACAGTACTTTGTTTACATCATGGTACACGCGTCCCTGTCAACCTCTTGCAGTGGAGGTACCAAGCATAAGAGTTCCACATGTACACCATGAAAATTGCAGAAAGTTTTAGTAGTGTGTTGGGAGAATGTTTTGAGTTTCATACCAAAAACTTAACAAATTGTATGCAGCATTTAGTAAAAAGTGGCCAGTGGAAATAATGAACTATGAAAAGTGTAGTATGTCAATACACAAATATTTTCATTAAAGTCTTAAATGTTCATAAGTTTTCAGGTAAACAAACATTGTTTCAGTAATACTGTATAATTCTTATCATGGTGTATTATTACAGAAGTGCAGTAAACTTTTTGGGAGGTAGCTTGTGAAAGCCTGTCAGGCACAACTATACCCTTTCCACACTAACCTGGCCTGTAAGCCACACCCTTCTTGTTAAGCTACAAATAGTTGATTGGTTCCTCTGAGCGTATTTACCCCCCCCTTTGGGGGCCGCGCGTATAAGCACTTATTTATGTCTTTATTTTATGTGTATATATATATATATATATATATATATATATATATATATATATATATATCTTAACATCTCCTCTGAAGTGCTAATGCCTTGAAATCCTTTGCATTTGGTTTGAAATTTCTATGATCCAATCGGCTATTAGTATAGAAGCGGGGTGTGGTACTGTATACGGGTCAGGTTAGCGTGGAAATACTGTAGTCTTTGTTTGGGCATGTGGGAATACAATTATAAGTGTATTTTATCAGTATTTCATTCATGTGTATTCTGTTTTTGTTTATCCTCTTGTTTGTCTACCTCCAGCCATGCTTTTGTAGATCTTCCCCGTGTTGAGCTAATGTTCCTTACTGCCGTGATGCACTAACACGTTTTAGTTATCCAGAAACTTTTTTACGTTGGGTTTTACATCATTCCTTGCCTTCCTGCTGATTGATTTGTAATATATTGCACTAGCCACTACTTGTGCAATGTAATTATCAGTACAATACTAAGACACCTTTAACATAAGTACAAGTTGGAATAAGAACATTTGTCTCCATGCGCAGACTAGACTACTTGTACTTTCAATAACTTAATCTTTAGCTTTTTATTTTTCTCTTCCTCAACAGTACAGTATTCCCAAATACGTACTTAAATTCATCTATAACCTCCAAATACTCAAATTCATCTGTAATGTCCAGCTTTTCTTTCCAGTGACATTAATTTTTAAGATTCCCTTTTAGCGCATAATTTTGCCCTCCCCACATTTGCATGCAGACTTCATCTAAAGACAACTTCATGCACAGACTTTGGGTTGTTTCCACCTCAGATTGGGTTAAATAAATATCACTAATCCATTTAAATCTTCTCTGCAGGTCATTGATGCAGGTGACCATGTCATAAACGGAAAGAAGGTTGATCCTAAAAAGGCAAAGGCCCGTCATGGTAAAATATTTGTTGGTGGTCTCAAACCAGAATTAACAGATGAAGACATTAAAAAATTCTTCACTTCGTTTGGCAATATCATTGATATGGAATTACCATTCGATAAACAAAAGAGCCAGCGCAAGGGATTCTGCTTTATCACCTTTGACCAGGAAGCTGTTGTCACAGACCTCTTGAAGACTCCCAAACAGAATATCAATGGCCATGAAGTTGATGTAAAGAAGGCAACCCCCAAACCAGATTCCATGATGAGAGGTGGCATGCGTGGGGGCATGAGAGGCCGAGGTGGTATTCGAGGTCGAGGCAGAGGTTGGGGACATGGATGGAACCAGGGAGGCTATGGCGGATACAACCAAGGTGGCTATGGCGGTTATGGTGGATATGGTGAGGACTTGGGCTGAAATATGATAAAATTTTGTATGTGATGAATTGTAATACAGTACAGTAGTTGTGCATTTAAAGTACCTTTAAGAAACTAGTAGCATGAGTAATTAAGAGTGGCTTTGTTGCATTGACTTGTAATTTGTTAAACTAGTTAGTAAATGTTTTATGTCCCAAGTAGCATATTAGAAACGTTTTTGTATAATTAAATGTCATTTGGTATGGTTGTCATTGATGGGATCATTGCTTATGTTCAACAATTTGAATTAACCTGTCGGTAGCCATGTAGATGACAAAAATTGCAACTGAAGACCGTCAAATAAATTAATTGCTACTAAACCTGTAGTAGCTCTATATTGTACTATACATTGGAATGATTTAATAAATGTTTAACAAATTAAATGAACTTTAACCTGCATTAGCTAAATACTGTACTATACATTGGAATGATTAATATATTAAAGTCATTTAGTGTAAGCATAGTTGGCCTGAAGTTGCTTATGGAGGCACCAACTTTTTTTTTTCCCTGGAAGCATTACTTTTTTTTATGGTGCCATGTCCTATTTCCAATGCTTAGTTTTCCCTTTAAGACTTGTAAATGGGGTTCATTGCCTGTTAATGTAATAAGTGGGAAAACCACGCAGGATTCATAAATTTTATGAATTGTTTCACTGAAAACTTTAGTAAACAGTGTAGAGCTGTTACAGTTCATGGAGGATTTTGTGGCCTGAAAAATAATGAATGGAACAAAGCTTTGTAGATTTGAAGGAGTTTTTGTATTGTGTGGGTGTTTAATATAAATATGCAGATCTTGTAATAGACTGCTGTTCCTGTTTCAGGTGGCTACGATTATGGTAGTTATGGAGGCTACAGTGGCTATGGGGACTACGGCTATGGAGGATATGGGGGTTATAATGATTATGGTTATGGCTCTAGTAACTATGGTAAGTATCAGGCTTATGGTTGTTAACTGCACGAATATTTGATATGTCATTTGCATGATTATCTCTAATGAAATTTAATAGCTTTGCTGAAATTGTCCTCTTCATTGATATAATACAGTATAGGTCAATTATTGATTTAGATTCAGTCATGAATTAGATCCCTGCATGTTGACCCACACCTAGTTAGTTTTGGATGTGCTCAATGTGTTGAGTTGGTTGAGTCGTCAGTTTCAACATATCCAGTCACTTAACATGCTGGGGTCAAACCTGTACTTTTAGTCGTTCACCGAGACTCATTATTTATGGCATTGTTGGCTATTACCAGGCGGGCAAGGGTACGGCGGGGGTAAGAGCCAGCACGGGCGGCAGCAGGCGAGGCACCAGCCGTACTGATTGGCGTGATCAAGGGTACGACTACAATGCTACCGCCACCTGGAACAGCGGAGACACGTACTAACACCAATCATCCTCAGTCCTCAACTCGTCAGTCTTCTACTACTGCTGGCTCTTATGACGGTATGCAAAGCCAGACATGAAGATTTTAGACTATGGTATAACAAGCTGATCCCGCAGTGTGGTAAAAAAGTGCTGAAGGCTTCAGTCCGTGGGAATTCGACAAGCCCTGAAACTTGACTGGTCACAAGGGCCTTTTCCAGCGGATTATGGAGCCTTCAGTGTGATAGACTGTGGCGGCTTTTTATGTGGAAGTGGTGTTAGTTAACTTTGGGTGTGTGCCTGCTGTGGGGACGATCACAATTTAGAGTCGGAATTTATTAGTGACTGCCAGGCAGTGTTCCTGTGAAAATGGAAGTTTTAGTATCTTTTTATTGAAAAAAAGAGCAATTAAAATCCTTGTGTTCTGTTGTGATTATGAGTTCGTGATGAATTTTGTAATGTGCACATGGTAACATGTTGACCAAAATTTTCAGGAAGTGCTTAAATTTGTATTATTTTTTGTACTTGAAACCAAAATACATAGTAGGTATTTTTTGTAGTTTGATTTTAAACCCACATCTTAACATTTAACTGCTGTAGTTACAGGTGTGTCTGTAACCTTACAGTATCCATTTGTCTGTAATGTTCTGTAATATATTGTGATCAATTAAATTCCATGATGTACACAGTGCTTGAAAGGATAACATCTGTTATAAATGTCAAGTGTTACACTTCAGAATTTAATAAATGGATGTGTAATTGTTTTCGTAAATCTGTTTTGAAAAGTCTTCCCCGGGTAGTGGTGTGTTGAATGTAATGTATCGAGTTTAGCTGAACTTGTTTGTCTGAGGTAGAACTGGAAATTTATAAATGGTTATCAGAGTAAAGTGGGAAAACATGAAGTGAAGGGCCAAGGTAGTAATCCTCTCGGTTCGCTACTGGCAAGCTGTATGAAAGCATTGTGGGTGGTTACTTCAGCAATACATATGTAGAGCAACAGTGGAAATCTAGAGTATATTTAAATACCTGAAAAAAAACGAAATTAAGGCAGTCTACCATGAAGGTTAATAAAAATAAAAGGGGGGGGGGTTTGATTGCTGAAAATTAGAATTCCCGTTGTACAGTGCAGTAGCTTGAGCAGCTATGCATACGTTGTGGGGAACAATGAGACCATGGACGATAAATTTTGGTAGACGAGGGCTGTCACTAGTCCTAAGTAAACTTTCGGAGCATATCGACCACACCTGCAAGACCGGTTTTAGATACTGTACTTAAGACTAGAGGTTAAAACAGTTTACGAATGCAGTACAGTGCATGAAATACGGAGATAAAAGTTTGTAGTGTTTCCTGTTCATGCAGGCATAAACGACCCGTAATGTGACGGAGAAATTGTTTTTTTTAATGTGGCCTGCGGTTCAGGTAGGTGCAACCTGCTTATTAAAGCAATGTATCTAAAACGATCTTCACAATTCGTTATTATTTCATCAGTACGAAGTTGGGGTCACCGGTTTTTATTCCTGGCTGTCCAATTTTTTTTATATGGTCTCAATGGGTGCATATATAAAGTATTGTGGGGTTCAGGATATTTGGTTCACACAGCATGGGTTGGAGAAAGGAAACTCACAATGTGCTCTCTATATACATGTTGTATTGGATGTACAATGCAGCGTGATGTAGAGAGAGCTGGTTGGTGAGGATGCTCAGAGGAGGACCAGCTTGTGGGTCGCCATGCTCTCCGGCGGGAGCGAGGACCACCAGGCAGGCGGAGGAAGAGGATGAGGTGTTGCTGGCTGGTTGGTGTGGGTAGAAAAAGGCAGGTCACATGACATGAAATGCTAGTGACGGGGGGAGAATAAAGGGAGGATTGAAGTGAATTTTAGGAGGAGAGAATAGGTGCAGTGGCTAAACACCGCTTGCGTGAGGGAGTATAAGTTGGAGGCAGCAGCAACTCGCCCGGACGCGGCCGGGAGGCGACAGGACAGAGTCAGGAGCGTCAGGTCAAGCGTCAGGTGCGTGTTGGGTTGGGCCTTGGATTCTCAGTGCTTGGTCGGCTTGATTGTGTGTGTTGTTTTCTTGTGTGGAGGAAATGTCTTGGTATTCTTCTTAGCTTGATGTAGATTTTCTTCTAACTCTCCTCCTCTTCTTGCTCTCTTGAAGTGTCCATTCATTCGTGTTTGGGTCTTGTTGTTCGTCTTCCTCGTGTCTTAAGTCCTCATAGGTGTGGAAGAAGTCGGAGACGGTGAGGTTGACCACGTGGGCTTCAGCTCCACGGGCCTCGTGGTGTTCTTGATTCTGTGTGGCAGGTGTCTTTTCTTGTTTTCTTTTCTTGGGTTTTCTTTTCTGCTGGTTTTTTCTTGTCTTGGGAGCGTACAGCAAGGAGGGCCTCTTTGTAGCTCAGTTTCTTGTCGAGTCGCGCCTTGGCTATCCTGCATTCCTCTTCCATTTCGGGCAGGTCCGATCGGCGGAGGAGTGTGGGCCGCCACAGGCAGCGCATTTTTTTACTGTGTTGGGGCAGACCGTGTAGCGGTGTCCGGGGCTGCCGCACAGGGAGCAGGTGTCCTGCGCCTCACACTTGTTGACAGTGTGTCCGTAGTGCTGGCATTTGTAACAGCGTTTCGGTCTGCAGTAGGGCTTGACTGGCACAATTACCCACGCCAGTTAAGCCTCCTTGGGTAAGGTTGTATGGTGTCCGATGAACATAAGAAAATAAGGAGTCTGCAATAGGCCGGTTGGCCTATGCATGGCAGCTCCTGTCGAGAGTTACTACCACACACTATCATCCATGAATCTATCTAGCCTCCTTTTGAAACTTTCCAGAGTTCCCGCACTTACTACAAAGTTGCTAAGCTTGTTCCACTCGTCCACCACCCTATTTGTGAACCAGTTTCTTCCTATCTCCCTCCTAAACCTAAACTTATCCAACTTGAATCCGTTGCTCCGAGTCCTATCCTGCTCGGATATTATAAGAACTTTATTTATATCCCCTTTATTGATTCCTTTCACCCACTTAAATACTTCTATCATATCTCCCCGCACTCTTCGTCTTTCTAGGGAATGCAAGTTAAGTTTCTTTAACCTATCCTGATATGGAGGGTTTCTAAGTCCCGGAATCATTTTTGTCATTCTTCGCTGCACCGACTCTAGTGAATTTATATCCATTCTATAATAGGGGCACCAGAACTGAACCGCATAATCGAGGTGCGGCCTGACTAGCGCAAGATATAGTTGCAATAAGACCTCTGCACTAGAACCTAATCACGCAAGATGTAAGTTCAAATATAATTATTATAACCTCGGCATATCTGGTTGAGTCCGGCTACTGTCAATCTCTTACTTTCCTTCAAATTTCTTCCCTCTTTTCCTTGATCCTAAACCAATCCACCTCTCCCCCAAATCGCCACCAAAGAACTTCCAATCCTAATCCCGGCCCTCCCACCCAGCATTACAAGCAATAGCCTTCTATCTTATCTACAGACGTCAAGTCAAGTCAAGTGAATGCTTACCACCAACCCCTACTCTTGGACGTGGTCAGTTTTGGAGTGGCGCGCCCCCCGAACTGGGGTCCGCACTTGCTGGGGGTGAATACTTCCTAAGTTATCTGGGTGGTGGGTATCGTGTGATGACCCGGAGAAGGTGGTGAATGTGGTTTGTTTGGGCCTTTCGGGTTAGAGTGGCCGCTGGTGTTGTGTGTTCTTGGAAGTTTCGAATTCTATTTCGGAGACATTGTGTGACTTCTCAGTCGAGGATATAGTGTTCCAGTGGGTTGGCCACTGGCTCCTAACAGTAGGTGCAATCCCTGACGACATTTCCGATAGTCTGCCAGGTGCACTTGCACCCTAGTCGTAGTCGATGAAGGCTAACTTGGGTTTGCCTTGGTGTTTTCTTGTCCGTGAAAGGTGGTTCCCATTTTGTAGCCACCAGGTACCATTTGGCTGATTTGGAACCAGCGTTGAATACGTCAAGGAAGCTTGGTAGTCTTGTGGGGTTCAGGATGTTTGGTTCACACTCAGGATGGGATGGAGAAAGGAAACTCACAATGTGCTCCAATGTATACATGTTGTATTGGATGTACAATGCAGCTTGGTTACAAGCGTGATGTAGAGAGAGCTGGTTGGTGAGGATGCTCAGAGGAGGACCAGCCTGTGGGTCGCCATGCTCGCCAGCGGGAGCAAGGACCGCCAGGCAGGCGGAGGAGGAGGTGTTGCTGGCTAGTTGGTGTAGGTAGAAAAAGACAGGTCACCACGAGGTCAGGTCTTAAATAGCGGGGAGTAGGCGTGGCTTAGTAGGTGACCCCCGCTCCGTGATGTATGGCGGTGTAACGGGCCGGGTTTTCTCTTTTCAATAATTTACCATCCAGCTACTGTTTTCTGTAGTATTCTATTTACTCATATACTTATTTGTTCTGTGTAGCATTCCTCCAATGAGTACCCTGTTTAATATACTTATTCTCCTTCCATTCTTTACATATATATTTATTCTTATATGTTCTTACTTATATTCTTATATGTTCTTTACCTCTATATACCTTATATTCTCATATATTCTTATATAAGTAACTCTTATGCTTCTCTACTTATGTTTTCCAAGTCAAGGTTCTTTCTTTTCATTTCCTTTCATATAGATTGTATTCTCAGTTTCAATGTTCTTACCTTTCTGAAGTATACTTTGTTTTATGTCTTTCTTATACATGGGTTAGTCTGGGGAACCATGTTATTCTTTGTATAACACTTTTTATACTTACAAGGGGTAGCTGCCACCACCCAGACTTTTCATTATATAACAGAACTCATGGAAGGGTTTTGGGTAGTGTGGTAGATGTATAGGCACGTGAGTAAGTATTATTTTCTGGGAACCAATGTTTAGAAGGAGTAGAGTGGTGATACTCAGATTACTAACTCAATATTTATTAATACAGTGAGTGGAGAAGATGCATCTTAGATTCACTCAGGCTAAACAGAACCGAAATTAACTTATTAAGTCATCAAACATTTCAAGAACTTATTACCTCATTAAACACCTCCAAATATTCATTACTTTAGTGGATACTGTTGTAGTATTTCTGTGACAAGTAAGATTTAGAAATGCTTACACACTGTCAATAACCCTGGACCCGCAGGTCTTACTTTAACAAGGAACAAATTACCTTCTCAATTCGTGGTTAGAACATCATACTCTCAGGTTATTCGTTCATGATTACTACAGATGAATACATAACACATTGGACTAACTCCACAATTATAGTAACATACAATACCTCCTGTTAGTTTGCAAGGAACAACCTGGTACCTTGAACTCTCATTCAGTGGTTCAATACTTAACCTGGGATGACTATATTTCTGCTAGTCATCCCTAAGCATGGATATTAATACGGCTCCATACATATAACCAAGAACAGTAGGTAGACCATGATCATATGACCGAGTCAGTGGGCCAGAGTTGTTTACAGCGACCGCCAAGCTGAAGGCTCGCTCGCTAGGTGCACTCAGGGAGGTTGACTCGTTACACACTGGCAGAGTGGTGGGGGCGCTTCCCGGGGAATCGTGTCCTGGGAT